CATGCACGCCCCCCCCCCCCCCCCCCCCGACCCCCAGGAGCACTCTGTAGGCTTCAGCAGGGCTGGGGGAAGGCAGAAGGCCCGTTTTTGCAAAAAAACAGAGGCATTTTTGCCTTTCCCCAGCCCTGCTGAAGTCTGCAGAGTGCATTTGGGGGTTGGGTAAGGCAAAAACATCTGTTTTTGTGAAAAACAGTCCATTTTTTGTAAAAATGGGATGCGGGGGCAGGGCTTCAGGCAAAAAATGATTGTATTCGGTGTATAAGATGCAACAACATTTCTACGCTCTTTTTGGGGGGGGAGGTGCATCTTATATTCCGAAAAATACAGTAGTTTTCTTGTGGCTACATAGGGATTCTAGGCTGATTCCACTTTTCACTCTTTTCCCAGATATCTTTGGAGATTCTGTTGTCCAGGTCAAGGTTGTCCCAAAAGTGCTTTCTTTCAAAAGGCAATTGGACTTTCTTGTTTTGCTAGAAGATGTTTTGCTTCTCATCCAAGAAGCTTCTTCAGTTCTGACTGAATGGTGGAGAATGGAAGGATTTTTATTCCTTGCCTTGCAGTCGTGTGCTTGTTAGCCCTCTTTCTGAGTGTCGCTGGGGTTCATTTGGAACTATTTGTACCTTCAGAATCACCTGAATCCTTTAGTCTGCAATTGTTTTTTTCTGGAAATCCTTTCCTATTCCTGTACCATTTAACTATGCGTTGTTGGATGAACACCCTTCATATGGGGCTACCTGTACACACAATTCTTCAACCTTCAAATTTAAAGTCTAGGTTTCATTTATTTTGAGCATAAAAACCAGAAGTGACACCTAGTGAGTCAATCCTGAGTAACTAGAACACAGCCTAGCTCAACAAAAGAAGAAATCACAGGTGGAGCCACGGTGGCGCAGTGGTTAGAATGCAGTATTGTAGGCTTCTTCTGCTAACTGCTGGCTGACTGCAATTTGGCAGTTCAAATCTCACCAGGCTCAAGGTTGACTCAGCCTTCCATCCTTCCGAGGTGGGTAAAATTAGGACCCAGATTGTTGGGGGCAATAGGCTGACTCTGTAAACCGCTTAGAGAGGGCTGTTACAGCATTGTGAAGCGGTATATAAACCTAAGTGCTATTGCTATCAATGGCATCAAAATTTAGTTTGGGAAAATACAACCAGATGATTGATTGATCCACCTTTTCTTACCGGAATGTCAGTGTCTGACCACAACAATAAGTTGGAGCCTTGGAATACAGCACACCACCCGTTTGCGAATCGTTTCGAAGGGCTATGTTCCTTCGGCTGCTCAAGCTGTAGCCCTCCATGCCTGGAGTCCATTCTAAGGAAAGAAGAACCAAGAGTAATAATGCAGGGGCCCCGCCCAGTTTGGACAAACTACAAAACATAACATTATATTCTTAAGTTTGCTGACACCAACAGGCCCAGCCTTCTCAGAAAATATGCTTTGCTTCAATTTTTAGTTATGGCTTTGTATACATTCCAAGATAGGAAAAGTGTGCAAAGAATGTACAAGTAGTCCTCGACTTACAACCATTCATGTAGTGAACGTTCAAAGTTACAATGGTACTGAAAAAAGTGACTTAGGACCGTTTTTCACATTTCACAGTGTGAAAATCCCCGTGGTTAGGTGATTTACATTAGGATGACTGACAACTGACTTACATTTATGAGGGTTACGGTGTGTCATGGAGTCGTGTGTGATCCCCTTTTGCGACTGCCTGAGAAGCAAAGTCAATGGAGGAAGCCAGATTCACTTAACAACTCTTTTACTAATTTAAGAGCTACAGTGATTCACTTCACAAATGAGGTGGGAAAGGTCGTAAAATGGAGCAAACTCAGTTAACAAATGTCTCACTTAACAACCTACATTTTGGGCTCAATTGTGATCGTTGAGGACTACCTGTACACAGTAGTCTTTGATTTACAATTATTTTGTTCAATGACCACTAAAAGTTACATTACTGAAAAAAGGTGACTTATGACTGTTTTTCATACTTACGACCATTGCAGCATTCCAATGGTCATGTGATCAAAATTTGGATGCTTGGCAACTGACATGTATTTGTGACGGTTGCACTCTGTCCCAGAGTTCTGTGACCATCACCTTCCCAGCCAGCTTCCAACAAGCAAAGTCAAGGGGGAAAGCCAGATTTGCTTAATGACTGGATGGTTCTTTTAACAACTGCAATGATTCACTTAACAACTGTGGCAAGAAAGGTCGCAAAATGGGTCAAAACTCACTTAACCATCTTGCTTAGCAATGGAAATTTTGGGCTCAACTGTGGTCATAAGTTGAGGACTAGTTGTAATTCACAAACAGTCTGATCACATACAAACCTACAAGCCTTCTTAGGATCAATAAACTTTATGTTTTCAAAGGAGAACTCAGAGTTACTTAAAACCCAATTTAATTGATTTCATATGCTCTACAGTTGAAAACGCAGCAACATTCCATAAAGTTAAATGTTTGTGTAAGAAACGGCCTTAACATCAAACAAGGATACCTGAATATGAAAAGTTATCATACAGAGCAAACTACATGATAGCAATAGTCTAGATCCGTGATGGTGAACCTGTGGCATGCAGCGCCCTCTCTGTGGGCATGCGCACTGTCGCCCCAGGTCAGATCTCCATGGCGTTTCTTTCGTGAACTTCTGTTTCCCTGCAAATGACGAAACAGAAGCTCACGAAAGAAAAAGATCTTACCTCTTGCTGCGCTGCCAGTGTTGGGATGCCCCGCCTCCCACCAGCCAACTGGTCTTTGGGTCTCTGCTGTACATGTGCACATGGCTGTGCATGCACGCAGATGTTCGTGGATGCGCGTGTGCACACTTTTCCGTTTGGGCGTGCGTGCACGCAGTTTGGGCATTTGGTGTCTAAAAGGTTCGCCATCACTGGGCTAGATTTACAGGTCAGGGAAAGGAGATGAAGCAAGACTGAAATATTTTTTAATCGCAGAATAAAATGACAAAATGCATACCATGAGGCACCAATGTGGAACACCCGGTCTGAGAAACACTCCATGGGCTCCATTCCTGACGGCCGTCTCCCCGCGCACAAACCTTGAACTGATAATCGACGTTGGGATCGATGTGCAACACCATGAATTCTGTGTCAGAACCAACGTAGACATCTTCAAAATGGCAAGTGGTACTCTTGCGATACTGAAGCCTGTAGTCTTGCGGGATGAAGTCCTCCTCAACCTGAGCAAAGATAAGTTACCTTATCGCATATCTTAAAACTCTTTCTTCCTTAAACATTTGTTTTAACTAACTTGTTCTCTAAAAAGGCGAAGGCTCGAAACTCCCCAGGATTTTGGGATTAGAAGCACATTGGGCATTATCACGAAGTGCAAAGGACACAATCGCAAAATTACTGTTGTGGGGCAAGTGGTTAGACACAAAGCATATTTTCCAGTCTTACACCAGCCAGATGTGCTGGAATCCTGAGAATTCCAGTTCAAACATATCTGGAAAAGTGATACCGTGTTTCCCCTAAAATAAGACATGGTCTTATTTTCATTTGACCCCCGAAATAAGTGCTTGTTTTGACCCCTGAAAATAAGCCTTATTTTCAGGAAGGTGTTATTATTTTTGAGGTGCAGGAGGCGGCAAGTGTGGTCATCTCACGGCTGCTGCTGTGTTGCAATATTTGGGGGGGCTTATTATCCAGGGAGGTCTTATTTTTGGGTAAACAGGGTATAAATATTAAGAGGCAGGAACAATCACATAGAATCCATTTCACAATGTGCCAGTTATCAGATAGCTATTAAACGAGTTCCAATTAAAAAAGAATGCTATCTCAAACAGAAACCAATAAGCCACATAATAACCATTATTCGTTGTATTAACTACTATCTGCATGCTATTATCAAGGAAGAGATTTTCATATGATGGGGAATATCCCAAATCTCTACCCCAGGTGTGTCAAACTCAAGGGCCGGCAGGATTTGCTTATATCTGGCCCACAGGGCTACGCTGGAAACAGCAAAGGACCAGTCTGCGGTGCCTCTGCCAGCGAAAACAGAGCTCAGAAGGGCCACAGGTAACCCTCCCAAACTCTGTTTTCGCTGGCAGAGAGTTGTAGGAGGCCGTCACTGCCGAAAATGGAGCTCAGGAGCCTGTTTTTGCTGGCAGAGCATTCGGGCCTCCATAGGCACCCCCGACATAAGTAATGTCAAACTGGCCATGCCCCCACAAGGTCAAATACAACCTTGATGCAGCTCTCAATGAAATAAAGTTTGACATCCTTGCTCTACCACTTATACTTAGTCCTCAACTTCATTTAGTGACCCTTCGAGGTTATAATGGCACGAAAAAAAGTGACTTATGACCATTTGCACACTTACAATACTTACAGCATCCCCACTATCATGTGATCAAAATTAAAGTGCTTGGCAACCGGTTTATATTTATGACATTTGCAGTGGCGCAGGGTCATGGGATCACATTTCGCGACCTTCTGACAAGTAAAGTCTATGTCAGACTTTGGGGAAAGGCAGATTCATTTAACAACCATGTTGCTAACTTAATCAGTGCAGTGATTCGCTTAACACCTGTGGCAAGAAAGGTGGTAAAACGGGGCAAAACTCACTTAACAACTGTCTCGCTTAGCAACATGAATTTTGGGCTGAAATGTGGTCGTAAGCAGAGGACTACCTGTAATATGTTTCTGTCCATTGTAAAATCACCATCAGGCTGTTGGGTTAAAGCCCAAGGCAAAAGAAAAAGCCCAGGTGGCATCTGATCCTGAAAAGGCTGCTAACTTACCTTGCACCACCGTACTAAGATACCTCCAGGTTTCTCGATCAGTTCTTCTATTTGTATCGGCGGTCGAGATGCTACTGTTCCGTGGCTGAAGATGTAGCTTTTCATAATTGTAAAAAAGGAGTCATCCCACTGAGCAGACAAGCTAGCCACATCAACCAGCGATGGCACTTCAGGTAAACTAAAGAGAGAAAACATAATCAATATACATAGCAGGCAAGGATCTTTTTTCATTCAGAACCTTTAATGACGCTTGGAACTCTTGATTTGATGTCTTATATTAATTTCTCTATCCACTCCAATCCATATCTTGTTTTCTTTATCATCTATATATAAAAACATGTGTGTGTGTTCCAGCATAACTCTAGAACACCTCGAGCAATTTCAACCAAACTTGGTACACAGATGGCTTAGTCTCTGGAAACAAATGTTGTGGGGATAAGACACCCCTAATACCCTTGGCAGTGTTCTGTTAAGATACAGCCTGTTGTACCTTAAAATGGATTCTACTGTACAGCACATTGGAGTTGCCATGGTAACAGTTTCACTGTACTCCACAAGAGGGCTCCCTCTGGTAAGGGGGAAATCCAACATTAAAAATTACGTTTGGTCCAGACATTTTCCCCCTATAAATAAATACCTGGGCAATGCGGGGTTATCAACTAGTTTTTATCATAAAAAGAAGCACATCAGAACAGGTATAAAATGATGGTTATAGATTTCTATTCACCAACCCTACCTCCATAAGTTTGAAGGCAGGGTTCTAGCACCACCTCCTCTGTACCCATAGCTCTGCACCTGGTGTTTCCCAAATAGAAAAATATAAACTTGAAAGGTGGGGAAGATGGAAAGGGCGTTGGTACTTACCTGATACGCCTCTTCTCATAGTGGGGGGAGGAGTATCCAGGATGGGTTTGACCTTATCCTCTCGTGATTGGTTTGAGTCAGATAAG